TTTTTTTTTTCTTTCATTTCTACTACATGCCAGATGTGTACCACTTTGGTGGAGGAAAAATATAGCGTGTACCAAACTGTGCCAAGATTCAATCGTCAACATATCACAATCAGTGTATCCGTTGAAATCGAAACTTGATTATTTTATACACTACAAAAACACACTTTTTTAAGATTATGTTATTTTATTTTTTAACTACATTATCAACTTATTTTTGCTTTGTGATTAAAGCATTACGTTACTTCACTTTACTTATACAAGTTACTTTGATATACTTTGTAACTTGTGTAGACAGACACAAATTTATGTTAAAAAACAATGGATTATGATAAATCCCTCATACATTAAGATTGCTTCTTTCAGAATCAATCCTCTATGATTGGACTCGTCACTAACTAGAGCAAAAGCAACACCGGCCCACAACTCATCGGTCGCCGAATACTCACCGACTACCACCGGCTTGTCAACGATTCCTTTCCGACAATTTACTGTTAAAAATTTTCAAGTCGTGTATTAAATTGTGTATTAGTAGTCTCAAGCAACTCATAGAGTTCACATGTTACTAGAGTGCCATGCAAGCATTAAATCTACTTTTTCTGTTTGGCATGCAACCTTTGTTCTTCTTCGTGTTTATCTGTGATATCGTTGAGCTTCCTCTCCCAGTTTTCGTAAAACTCGTGAACCTCATTCATCAAGGAATCCATTAGATCCAGATTCTTCTTGGCCAGTTCGTACCCGGGCCCACCAAGCAGCTCTAGCTCATCTGCAACACAAAACACGGTACCAGTTACCTTAGGAATGGAAGGTGCGTAAAATGTGTTACGGTTATCTGGGAATGCTTTCGAGATCTTTCCTATCCTTGTTGCCAATTTCCACAACACAGATCACTCAAGATAGAGTTAAAGGAGCTCAGTTGTTGTGGAGCTTAGTGGATGTGGTTGGCTTGGCTTGCCACAATCACACTGTACAACATAAGTATTCAGCATTTCGCACTACAGTGGGTAATGCTGACTGCTGTTAGAGGCAATCGTCTCCAGTAATGGACACCGGCTCGAGCATGTTACTGTGCTCGAAAAATGTTGTTGGTTAACCTTACCCAACTCTGTCCTTTTCTTCCAGTGCCTCATATAACCGTAATCCCAGATAATGCCACAAGCCGTGAAAAGCAATAGAAGACCAAGACAGGAGTAGATTGCATTTTGGAACAAGGGAGAGGAAGCGTCAAACAAACCGGAAGAACGTTCAATCGCTGCGCTTTCAGCGGGTTCCTAAGGAGAAGAACAAAAAGTCTTTTTAGTTTTGTATTTTTACAAACACAATTTGAACATTTCACGATCTTCCTACAGGTAAAGATGCAAGGCATAAAGTATAATACCTCAGCTTCTCTTTCAAAAGGTTAAATACAGTATCATAAAAAAATATATATATATATATATAAATCACGCCGCCCTTCTGTATCAGGCTTGTCACTGGCTCATAACACAATAAGGTACAGGCCTTGGTTGTTCAAAGCCTAGATAACGCTTGAAAAATCACTACCCAGTCCATAGCAGGCTTTTTTTGTCTTCTGGATAGCGATTTTTTCAGTGGATAGCATTATTTACCCTTTAAACAACTGCACACAGGTTACAACGTGCCCTAATCCTAAAAGCAGTAGTGCTAGTGCTGGAGGTTCTGAAACGTAAGTGGCCAAGTTATTCAAAATTTCTGAAAGAAACGAGTTATCACATCTAGCTCATTTGATCATTCGCTCTCCGTTAACAACGTCGAGGTGCTTTCGCTCGGTTTAAATTTCGCTCTGTTGCTATCATAGAAACATCGAGACCTATACATTGATAATTATCTGATCAACAACAACAACAACAACAAATTCGCACGATCGGAAGACGAAGATCCTAAACCTAAGATGGCCCAGAAAGAACAGGATTTGAAAGGCCCACAGGATCAAAGAACATAACTAAAGCCCATAGAGAGAAAAATGGTGTAGGTGAACACGTGAAAAACATACGAACGATAACAATAAAATCTGACTGCTATCAAAGAGGGCCTACCAGGGGTTTTGGGGAGCAAGGGAAAATGGTCATCTTTTTTTTCAAGGGAACAAGTGAAGGGATATTATTGGGATTAAATTGAGGGAACAACGATATCTCTACTATTTAAGGTCACTTTAACAAACAATCTTAGGAAACAATATAATTTATTAACAGGCAACAAGGGAGAAAAATTGAAATTCTCAAGGGATCAGGGGACCATGCTATCCCCTCCCCGTCCCCTGAAAGGACATCCGGTGGATGAAACCATCAACCAACAACAAGGAATTCTCAAACTAATTTAACTCCTTTTTATCCAAGCGCTATATAACAACAACGTACACTCATAGGTCGCGTTTTCTGCTTGACAGTCTCAAAGATTGCTGCTTGGTTCGACAAGACGTATTCCTCCAAGCAGGCTTGAAATTGCCACTCTGACAACCTCCCTCCTCCGAATACGATACCGTAGAACGAGTTGTGGTCGATGATCTTATTCACACGTAGCTCTTCGCTGGAAAAATCTGTCATTTCTCCAGCAACGTACGAGTCGACTAGCACACCCTTCAGGCCGTCCTCTCGATTCCTCAGAGGCTCCACGATCGATTGTAAATCGGGGTATGCTGTGAAAATAAAATTATTGTTAGTAATGACAAAAACTTAACTATTTCAGTTCCTAGGACTCAACCCACACTAGGGTTACATCCACAGACTTAAAAGTTTGAACACCTTGCACAGCATAATAAACAGTACCACATGAAAGTACTGCTCGATAGCTTTCATTTGAATGGTTGCACACTAGAGGGTTACATTCACAGACTTAAAAGTTAGAACCACCTTCTACAGCAAAATAAACAGTACTACATGAAAGTACAGCTCAACAGCTTTCATTTGAATGCTCACACAAAAGGGTTCATAGAATATATGTCACGATTTCTTTTCTACGTTAGAGTCATAGAGTCTCTTCCGTACCTTTGGAAATTGATCGAACTGTGTCGTATGCAAGGGTGATATTTCAATATTTCTTTACCCTTCTGCTGTAGTACATGTAAGACAATCTTAGGCTAGGATAAAGTATCTAGAATGCTTTCATCTGTGAGTTAGCAAATCTACGAGCTTACCTGTCATATTTGCGTTTTTGATCAGACCCAGCCGATACTCGGTAGAATTAGCCACTGCTGCAATCTGAAGTAAAAAAAAAAAAAAGAAGAAACAATGATAAAAATGAAAAAATAACCATTAGAAAAATAACGCAATACCATATGAAAGTACTGTTGAATAGCTTTCATCTGAATAGTCACTCATTAGAGTGTTAGACTCACCATACACGTTACAGCCTTTTCTCGAATGGTCATTTAGCCACGGAAAGAGAGGATGAAGAGAATATAGGTCTTAATCACAACGTTATCCCTCTCAAGCTATTTTTAGATTACTTCCGGTTTCAGATATCCCAGAAATAGCCAATCCTATGATGCGTATTTTGGTCACGGGAACAGCCCAGCCATCTTAACACGCATTTTCATCCTAACGCAACCCCAGTGGTAACATTATTCGTGGACGAGACTGGTACATTTCTAAAAATAGCGTTGGACTGAAAGGTCCGATCGCGACATCATTACTTACTCATAAGCACCGAAGCGACAGATTTGAATACGAACTGGATTACCTTAGGAATAAGACCTGTATGGGACAATGGCTCTGTTAACCTTCATCATCTCTTAGCCATGGTCATGGAATTACTTTGACCAAACATTTTACATTAGAAGCAAAAGTGGAACCCACCTTAGTGCCATACAGTTTGACGTCAGTACTCAGTGTAATGGCTGTTAGGGATGTAGTCACAACACCAGTAAAAATAGACGTGATAACGAGGCCAACCAGAACCCACGCTATCGCAAAAATACGGGCCACAAATCCCCTGGGAGATCGGTCGCCATAGCTGAGGGACAAGGAGACAACAGAAAAGTGGTATTCAACTGACAGAACAAATAAAGATATCTCTGATGTGGAAGAGGGAAATTCTTAAGTTTCATTCACCAAGGTAACTAGTAAACTGCCATAACTTGATCTAGAATTATATCATATCAATCAATACTAAGTCGAAATATCTACAGTTGGACTGAGTTGAAAGGGGATACAGAAATTATTTAGAGCACGGAGCTTGCCACAACATCAACCCATGAACTATGTACAGAGTGTAAGATATTTCCTTGCACTCCCACCAACTAGAGCGTTTCTACGTCTATTAACTAGACATATAGTAGACGAAACAAGATGCAGTGGTGTAAAGGCTAATTGGAGAGTTATTCTTTTTCACTGCACTCTTTGCAAGGTTAGGAAAATGAAGAAAAACTCAAATGCAGTAGATTATGCTCCACAGCTATATAGCACTGACTTACCCCACGGTTGTCATAGTAACAAAAGCCCACCAGAATCCCTCTCCGCTGCCTTTGACGAATGACCTGGGAAACTCGTCAGGATTATACCTTGTGTCCTTTAGAAAAGGAGAATAATTATTAATTGACATCTAGGAAAAGGACCCTCGGAGGAAGGGTTTTGATATAAACAGGTGAAGAAGAATGTGGAAGGAACGAAAGAGTGTTGTAGTTCCGGCTGAACAAAGAGGCGCACGAATTTAGAAAATCACACACACGTTTTAACCACAGGCAAGCGAGATGAAAAGATACCGTACCAATTTATACATGTATATCATGGGGGTCTAGTCACTAATGGTAAAGACCGCAGGCTGGACGAGTATAAAACCGCGTGCCCTTGAGAGAAGTCGGGAAACTTTCAGACTTGCCCAACAGAAGCCCAGACCTTAAGCATATATGCCGACTGGACACTTCACCATGCACTACGCTATTAAGGAAGGTTACCTGTAACTTTGTTTAAATGTTACAAAAAGAATCAAACATCCCGCTTACTGCTGTGCTGAGTATTGCTGCATGACGTGGGAAAATGTTTATAAAAAGAAATGATGTTATGAATAAATACTTTGTACAAAACGGTGACGAAGATATTCATTAGTGAAAGACACCAGACACTCGAAATGTCGGCGTTGAAGATAGATTTGGTTTTCGCTCGCCGATGTGGTGAATCCTGTCTTCAGTGGGTGGTGTAGTGTGTGAGCGGGAGGAGAAGGGTAAAGACGAAAGGGGGNGGGGGGGGGGGTATTTTCCCTAACAACAAAAGGTGATACACAGATTTGGGTAACGTGTTTATATCCTTAGCTTATTGCCACCCAATTCAGATCATTTTATAATTCATTTGGGAGGCTACAATTGTTCTGTTTTTACATATTCCCACGCAATCAGCTGCGTGTGACAAATTGTAACGCAGTTGTAACCTCCCAAATGAATCGTCACGTGGTCTGAATTGGGTGGTAACAAGGATGTAAACACGTCAGCCAAATCCGTCTATTGAGGCTATAATGTAATGTACTTACCAATCCCCACATAATTATCCCAGAGAGTAAAGCCATCAGAAGTGTGAGTACTAACACAGGCCAACCAGACAGGACAGAGTTGAACACAGCGTTAGCGGACGTGCCGGGTGGCTCATCAACAACAATGAAAGCAACGCCTGGAGAGCTTACCAGTGGCATGAACGTGTACTCACTTTGATACCAACGATCGTCCTTGTGTCCACTGATTGGAAACGTGATCGTATCATTTACATCGAAGTTGCGAATATCTCTAATTGCTACCAGGTTGTCTTGGCGGTTTGCATAGGAAATCGTCGACGGCCCGTCACCTCCCGAGCAGTTTCCACAGCACACGGGAACAATTTCTTTGAGAAGTAACGGGAGCAGTCCTGAGGGTTCTCGGCCGGGTCCGTTGTCTTTGATGTACGGTGGAATGTCGTACCAATTGGCTTTGATTATCTTCGGGCATTTGCACTTCTCTGAAAATCAAACAAAATTTGAGTAACAAGAGATTGATTTTATAGCTGTGGCTTTGTTGAATAGGAAGTATGGTGCCTCATGGTCAAAGTCGATGGACTCCGGGTAAGGTTAAAAAAGCATGAATGTTTATCAGGAAACCGCTCACAAGCACAATACTTGGGGTAGCGTTAAGCTCAACAGACAATGCCAACTAATTTGATTTTAAATTTAAATGCTTTCCGTGTAAAATGTCAACAGGACACATGAATTTTGTACCACTGGAGAGATTATTTAAAAGCAAGGTGGTCTATAAGCTGGAAATTTGCGAACCTTGCACTAAGCTGTCCAGTAATTATATGATACTGATTCACAAGTTAAATAAAGGCTTTGTAAAATGAATGAACCGGACCTCAACGTCTTGACCAACATCTGGAAGAATTGTATGTAGACTTTTGGAGAGAATTTTCAATCCACAGATATCAAGATGAGGCACAACAAGTCTTGCAAACAATTTAGTCTGGACAATACAAAGGCACTGAAATAAAATATAAAATCTCCCTAATAGGAATTAGATGAATAATCTTATGTAGACTTGTGGAGGGAACATGTACTTAAATCCTCTTGTTTTACCTTTTACCCGCAGGTACATCACAGCATCGTCCTGTCCCAAGGAGTTACTCGCATAACACTTATAAAATCCAGTGTCGTTTCGCTTGAGGTTGTTGATCAGTAGCCTTCCATCGTGAAAGTCAAACATGCGGTCCGCACGAGTGTTGAGTGGTAGCTCGGAATTTGCTGGGTCTGACCCCAGATAATACCAATTCACCTCCGCCTCAGGATAAGCCGACACCTGGCACGTCAGCATCAGACTGTCGGTTTCTGTCACTACATTTTCTGTTGAGCAGTTTTTGGTACCAGTGGGACAAAACGATATTATCTCCGGTTTGTCTGTAATGAAAAACGCAAAATATGTGAGTTAATTTCCGCGCACACTCGACTCTAAACACGATGCATGGGTGCGACAGAAAATGCTCTTCGAATATTTATCCGAACATTTTACGGAAATTTCCGAAGATTGCCGAAGAATTTAAAGACTGAGTTATAGAAAGATGCGAAGATTTTCCTACTAAACGCCGCAGTGGGGAAAACTCATCACTCAGTAAACATGGCGTTGTCGATTTCTTCACATATGGCAATACAATAAGTTGAGAAAAAAAAGTAAAACTGTTTAGCTGGAAGTCCTTGTTATTCAAATTCAAATCTCTGTGAGAAATAAAAAGGAAAATATGGCTAATTATTACATCGCTCGGGTATCACGCGCACTGTGATTGGTCAATAATACGGTCCGTATTCCTACTACATGATTGGCTTCCCGCGTGCTCGAATTGAAAAGGTTTTTCTTTGCCACAGCAAGAAAAATAACATGAAATTCGTATCAAATTTATTGAAACGAGCCCTAGCTTTTTCCGTCGATTTATGGCCCACTTTACACTTCATGGGCTATCAATCAAAAGGGAAAAACTCGAAACGACGGTTTGCGAATTTTGAAAAGTTGGCCTAAGTTTTTCAAGTTCGGTGACTGCAATCCGTGTTAATCTTCTCAATCCTTAAGCATCTTTGTTTCTTTATGATTTATTATTATCTCTTTGGTGTTTTTCTATCTTAGTAAGCTACTATTTTCAGGTTTTCTTCAATTTCAAAGTAATTTTCTCTGTGGCCAAAATAACTCAAAACACCGCGACTGAGCTCCTTTATCTGTGAATCTGTCAATGGATTTTAAATAATCTGCAACTTACACATGCTACGAATAACCATATAAGTGGCGTTGAATCCTTTGCCTGTAACAAACCCGTCTGATCTGAACTCCACTCGAGCTTTCCCACAACGGGTTGCGACAGTGAAGGTCATCATGTAACCGCAGTATCCATCAAAGATGTCTGGTGATCCCAGGTTCTCTGACCAAGTCGTGGACTTGCTACACATGTCAGAGACCTTGACGTAATCATACGGTAGACAGGTCTTACTCCACTCCAAGTCAAAGTCGTGAAATGTGATCAGGATTTTGGCGTCAAATTCGGATTCAATGATCCAACTACAATACATAATAAGGAAGCATGTCAAAGATATGATTTAGGAAATTTGCAGTTGGTCCAATTAAAAATAAAACGTTGTTCTGTGGAGTACAAGATGCAACCATTCCCAGTTTCCTTCGTAGCCACGCAGTAAGTTCAACTCCATCGCAAATGATTGTTTAGCACAGAAATGGTCAAATTAAACTGACCGCTGTTATTTTTTATTAATGCCACATCCGCTTAAAATCATGTCGATTAATTTTATTTCCTAAAAAAGAGAGCCTGTCTTTAATACCCTAAGAATATCCTTAATTTGACAAATTCGTTTTTCGCGGTCCGCTTCACCATTTCCCAGTCAAAACCATCTTCGTCGCTTTTCAGTTTGAATTATATCTTAGGAGTTTTTTTTTATACCTCAGTGAACTAGAATTTTTCGGTTTTCTTCAATTCGAAGATGAATTTGTATGTCACAAAAGGATTTTAATTTATGATAACAAACAGTTTCTTTGAAGTCGTTTCATATTACCTGCAATTTGTATTATTAGGATAACCTTCGTATCCACCTGGACTTGTGAAGTTTCCTTTATCGCCAAATAATTGGACCTCCTTTCTACAGTCTAAGGAACAAAAAAATTAATTAACTTGGTTCTTGTATATACAGAACTTTGCACACATTTGTAAATATTGAAATGATTAGTGTGATTTTAGTTCTTTGTTCACAGGAAAATAATAATTTTGAACAGAGTTGAACCAAATTTCGTCTGTCACTTACAACGAGTAAACATCACGCATAATGTATTTTTTTCATACACGGACAATAGATTTTGGTCGAAAATAAACCGGTTTCATTCTGCGTCTAAACTGATGTTAAATGATTAATTGCTAAGAAATATTTTCCAAAAAATACACGATGAATTCTTTCAGTCTCAAATTGCACATGCAAGAAAGCATAGTTATTTTGCAGCGTCCTTAAAGCGATCAGAACACCTTGCAGTTATTTTCCATGTTACAATTCTCCTGCGATGGACTATAAATTGCAAAGAGGTCAACGAGGAATTAATTTACCACCCTTTGCGTTGAAATGAGTGCAATGTATGGATTCCCATTAGAGTTGACTTTTTTCGTTTCTCTAAAGAGAAACTGATCATGATTGTATAAGAACTGTTTGAGACGAGGTCGTATACGACGTAAATAGCGCAGGTAACAGATTGTTTAATGCTGCGAAATATTACCCTCGTAATTGCTTTCACGCGATATCTTTGGCGACAATTTTGTTTCAGAGTTAAAATTCGTTAACGGTAGACAAGTCTTTAGTAGCCCTTTTTGGAATAACTAATATAAAACTCGCAAAAATTGCATTAAAGAAATTATAGTTAAGCGACCGATTGACCAAATCCTTAAGCTTAATTCCAAGTGGTTTGGGCGTTATTTGAAATCCCACATATCTCCGGTTACGCGTTTAGGCAGCCGTCTTCTCGCTATTGCAAAATAAGCCGTAACTATTCTATATTTACTGAAA